TCATCTCATGTCCCTGCTCTCTACCCTGGGTGCCACTTACCTGCCTTTTAACCTTGGCCTCATGTAGGCCAACAGTGAATGGTGGAACAGTCCCGGTGCTTCACACCTTCTTCTGTGGCAGTCACTGCCTTCGGTTTCTGAGCTTTTCTGGGATTGTGGAAAGCACTGGCTAGTTCAGCATTCACTTCAGCGGCACTGCCCACTGCAGATCTCACCGCTGTGGGCTCACTATCCTTAGCTCTGCCGTCTCCCAGTGCCAGCTACCATTTGCACATATTTGGATTCAAGGAAAAAGATATTTGGGGTTTTCCCCCCAAGGTTCAACCTGTCATTACTGTTGTGTCTACTTAGCACCACAGTATCTGGCACGCAATGGGCACTCATAGATCTATGAGAGTCAGAAGGATGTCTTAGAATCTAGCAATCTGGGGTCATTCCTCTTCTGAGAATTCTTTTAATATTCACGGCTCTGTGGGGGTTAAAAGCACAGCAGGGTTGGCCACCAGGAGGCTCCTAGAGCTAGAGCAATTCAGGCAAGACCATGGCGGCTACTTCCACTCTGGAGGGCTAGAGAGATTCATTCCCAAGTGCCATACGTTTCCATCTTGGGAATTCATCTATTCTTCTAGATCTCTAGCTCCATTCTTCTCCAAGCTTGTATTTCTAGAAATAAATTATAGCCTCCACACCTAGTCATCGGATGGCTGCTTTTTTGTGGCCCACTTAATTGCATGTGACTTTTCTGTGTGTTATTTTGCAAGGGTGATCAGAATAAGTCATCTGGGGGAAACGTTGTTTGCCATGAATTGCAGGCAAGAAGCCCATCAAGAGCGAACACAGAGTTATAATTTGCCAGGGAGCCATTCTCTGACCCATCCCCACCCACTGGGTTCTTTTTATTATATATTCTCAAATCCTGCGCGTGCTTCGCTTGCAGCACTTAACTGCGATTCATCATGTATTGTTTTCGAAATTCTGTTTCAATGACTCTTTCATTAGACTTTCAGCTCCACGGGATCAGGGGCCATGGCTGTGGCCTCCTCTTCCTCCCCAGCACTCGGCACAGTGCTCAGAACATGAAGGTGTGCTCCCGGATCGCACACACGAGCGACAAACGTCCAGGCTGTTCGGGTGTCTGGGGCGATGGCCTTTCCAAGCGGAGGGGACAGCCTCTCCCCTCAGCTCCCCAACCCCGCGGCCTGAGCGCACGTGCTCTGCGAGCCGGCACGCAACTTCACGGGGACTGGCTTCTGATCTCGACTCGGAAGGTGAAAAAACGGAGACGTGACACAAACTTAATTTATAAATCAGTTTATTTACAGATTTTTATCTTTTCTTAAAGTACATTTCAGTTAACAAATCTATTTACACAGGTATACACGGGAACTCATCCCAGTTATTTTACAGATCATACTTACAAACCACACCCCAAGTCTTCTGTGCAAAGCTGCACCGGATGGGACCACTGGCTGAAAACGGCCTGATGAGCAGCTATTTACACATACACAGTAAACGGGTTTGTTTTTCATGTCTGCACGGTACAGTACACACACGGAGGCCAGGCCTCCCAGAGATCGCTTTGCAATGTGTTTACCCAGAAGGCTTTGCAAAGTCCGGAAGGAAAAGCTATTAAACACAGATAGGTTAATTAAAATGACAGTACCTCCTTTACATCAGTTTACATTGTTTTCTTCACATTTTTATAATACAAAGATATTTTATTGAATTGCTGCACAACCAGTTCAAGATGATTTGTAAACATGTAAATTCCTACAATTTGTATTAAACATCATTGTAGTTTCTATCATTTGCTCTTTGAATTAATGTTTTCTTCACTAGTATTCTTAAGGTAGTAAAAGAAGATGTTAAGTTTGAACTTCTTGCAGAAAAGTTATGAGTCTCTAATGCTGTGCGAGGACACACTTTATTCAAGTATTGCAAAAAGCTAAGGCCACTTTTTTCAAGACAAGAAAGTGAACAAAATTGTTTTTATCAATAGGCCACAACACTCTTATGAGCATGAAATCTCTTTTGAAAGATAATTTCTCAGAGACCAGTAGTCACAGAAGGAATTTTCTTTTCTTTTGGGTAAAAGAAAAACCAATTACCTTCCTTATTAACTACTTTTGAGCTCTTCCCACTTTTCCCTAGAATAAAAATTCCTGTTTAGACCTGAAGAGGGAATCTATACCCTGTACTTGTTTAACCCAGAGGTCAGCACCCTGGGTAGCACAAATTATTTTGGACTCAGAACGAAATCTGAAGCCTCTATGTTGGTTTACTACTAAATTCTGATAGTGCTATTCTAAAAGATATTACTGCTGATGCAAAGATCTTTTTCTTAGAGGAATTATGAAGAAAGTGAAAGAGGATGGGAGCGTGGGGAGAAGGAACAAAGATTAGAAAGAGGAAATATTTAGATTCTTGGTTAAGAGGCAGAGCTTGATTAAAAAGATCCCAATATGGAACGAGTAGCTGGGGATCCACAGTCACCAGTCCTAATGCTAACACTAAACATCTTTTCAATTCTATCCAATAGTTAAAATAATAAGAAATCTGCTAATTATAGATTCCTCTATTTGCTGCTACCAAACTACGGACAACCATTTCTAACAAGGAGTAAGACGGACCGACTGCTGCCTCTCGGCCAGAGCCCGGGATTCTGAAGACGGAGATGGCGGGAGCATGTGATGGGGGCCAATATGTGGTCCCGGCTATATCCTCACTACGGAACCCCAAGTCTGGAGAGCTGACTCCCCACACTTAAATCTTTTTTTTTTTTTCCTTTTCTGGAATCATAATGTCATAAAGAGTAAAGATTAATCTTCTTATTAAAAATTGATTTAGGTCCAAATAATGAGAATGTAGAAAAACAACCTATATTCCTATTATATTATTTTCATATTCACTTATAAAAAATTTATAGCAGCTGTAAAGTTTCAGTATCATAAGGACAATGTAATCCTACAAACAGCCAGAGGGTATAGACAAGATGTTTTTCTGTCTTCCAAATAACACGAACTAAAAAGAAAGGCCTTTGCTTTTCCTTGGCCAACGTGAAAACAACATCTCCACACTACTGGTTAAAAACCCCAAGAAACCCTAGCTTCTCTTAGTCGATCTGCTCATTATGGCTACAAGACGAGAGCTCAACAGCAAAAGCCCAGAAGAAATGCTGACAATGCATCAATCTGCGCATTTCCCGAGACCCAATCACCACATTTCAGTGCTTTCCTTATTCGTCAAGAGCTATCATACCAGTCATTGTGCAAAATGCAAATATTCCAATGATTATTTCGGTTAAGTTTCTCATAATGACAAGATGAAACCAAGGAGGAATGGAAGCGTGCATAGTGAAACATCTGAGACGCAAAGGCAGGTTGGGAGGAAAGATGCAGAAATGAACGAACGTGCACACTTAAAGATTATACCATCTTTGGGGTTTTTCTAACATATTTTGAAGCTATAACATTCCAGGATATTTGCAAAAATGAATCCAGTGGATGGATGTCTTATTATATCATGCTTCTAATCAGGACCTTCAATATTAAGGCATTTACATTCACGCCTAAGATTATCCACATTCTTCTAGATTACTTGAAGAAGGACAGGACTGATTAAGAAAAACCAGTCAAGAAGGCAGGGTACTGAGGTCCCAGAGAGCATCACATATGCTCTAATGTAGCAGCTGGAGTCTCTGTATTTGTTTTCAGGTACAGGTAATAGTTGTGAGAAGCGATGATGCAAGAGAGGCAGAACTGAATTTTACAGTGTCTTGAAATATCTTATTCCATTCCTGCTACGGCAGGTGATCTTGGAAAAGCTCATCTTCTTTTCACAAAATTAAACTGCCTTCTTCGATATGTGTATGGGTTTGTTAAAACCGTAGATTTCCTGTGCAAAAGACTGTGAACCACAGAAGCTTCAAGACAGAAGTTTTACTATTACAAGAAGAATCTTTCACTTCTGAATAGGGACACACATTTTCAACTTAATAATTTATCTCAGAATAAATTTAAAAATGTTCCATAGCGTAGAACAAGCACACAAACAATAGACAATATCTTTTTGTCTTTGGTGCACACACTCATTTCCTAAATCATTCAAGTAACAGCGTCTCTGACTTCTTGGGGAGAGATGGGAGTTGAAAGTTTGAAGGCCAAAATGAATTATTTCCACTTCTGCCATGCCTGGATGCCTGAGATGGTCCTGAGGATCTGTGACTCTAGGAGCAGCTCGTAGAGGTTCAGAGGGAGTAAGAAAAGTGCAGGGAGAGAAGAAGGGGTAGATGAACCAGCCCTGCATCAGTCCTTTGGGTCCAGTCCTTTGGGGCATTCTTTGTTTTCATGCCCACACAGAGAAAACTAAAAATAATGCAAAGGTTTAAAATTCTTTAGATGGTGCTCAGAAAACAAGGCTACCATTGACTTCTGTTAACTCGACAGTCCACTTGGTGCTTCTCAACTGCAAAAATGGAAGAAAATGGTCTTCAAAAAGAACTGAAAGGAATTCCAGAATGTGAAATAGGCACACGTTCTCAGACTTGCCTATTTGGAAGTGGTGAGGGGTTTAATACTGTTTAGAGACTATAATGTCCATTTATGACTTTCATGGTGTAGACCAGGGTTACTTTTCAAAAAATGGTAGGACGCAGAATTCTATATACCTCTCCTGCCCGACTTCAGACTCAATCAAGTGTTAGCCTTGTCTCAGCTAAGAGGTAAGTCTGCTGTTTTCAGCCCGCATCTGAGACCCAGTAGGGGTGGTAACAAGAGGTGGAGGATTATACTGTGTGTCAACATCAGGAGTGCAGCCCTGCCCACCGAAAATCACCAACTAATCCAGCAGACAGTCTCTAAAGGCAAAGGCTGTCCTACCAGATATACCTCATCGTCCCATGAACTCCGAACCAGTAGTCTTTAAGGAAAGGTAACAAGTCCAGAAGCGCTCTTGCTATGATGGAGATGGGGTGTGTATCAGGAGGCAGAAAGGCCCAGGACTCATGTTAGCACTCAGTGTTCGGTTTATTTGCAAGATGTCACACAAGTAGCATTCTCCCCTGTTTCTCAGTGATCTGATTCAGAACATCAATAGTATCTCTGATCAAGGTCTCAAAGATCCCGTCGGCTAGCTGCATCTTCACGCACAACTCATCCTCGTCGTAGTTCACCCACTGTGCCTCCTCCTCATGGAGCTCCTGGACCTAGAATTTAGAGAACAGGAAGGTTAGAAAATTATTGTCACATAAAAGCTAGGAAATTGATTGTATTGATATTATCATTGTATATTCATATTAATCATATTCCCATCCCACTCCCATGAGAATACAGCCCAAGGCAATTAGTCAGAGAAAAAGGTAGTTTTGAAAAGACTTGGGGCACCTGGGTGGCTCAGTCGGTTAAGCCGCTGCCTTCAGCTGGGGTCATGATCCCAGGGTCCTGGGATCGAGCCCCGCATTGGGCTCTTGCTGACTGGGGAGCCTGCTTCTCCCCTGCCTGACATTTCCCCTGCTTGTGCTGCCTCTCTTCTATCTCTCTCTCCCTCTCTGTCAAATAAATAAATAAATAAATAAAGACTCAACTGATGAATAAAAGTGGCTTCAAATCTGTCAAAATGGAATCTGACAATATTCCAGTATTTTATAGATATTAAGGTTTACAAGTATGTTGTTGTCTATGACAATATAGGCAAACGTGTAAAGATTTAAGGGGGAGAGAAGCATGTAAATTATTAGTATATGGATTTACAAATATAAAATGCATATATCCAAAGAAAATACTGAATGTGATTCTAGAGTATTATAAATAAATGAAGTTTAAATATTCATTAGAGTATTTTAAAAATACATTATTATTTATTATTTATGATTTTATATATTTGCCCAAGATTTTTTGCTTGTTTATAATTTTTAAAGACTGCTCGTAAAAGACACATAAGAGATGTACAGTACACAATGAGACCGTGTGTGGCACAGAGGCCAGGAGCAGAAAGTGGACTGTAAACCCCGATCTAGTGAGGAATTCAGTGAAGTCAAACTGCAGCGATGGAGGGTCTCTAACCAGAAGTCTAACTTGGCGAAAAAGCCACGTGACCACAAATGCCAGGCCTGCTCTGATCATAGTCTCATCTTGAAAAAGGTAGAGGAAGCAAAGACTGGAACTGTACTCTGCTTCCTGTTATGAGTAAATGAGAAAACTCTTGGGGGAGAGAGAGCCCATGGCCCTGGAGTCTGAGAGCAAGAGAAGGAAGAACAGCTTTGTTCGACAGGTGCCCCTGGCCAGGGAAGACAAATATATGACACAGTGGCTGCCACATGCTCTCTCGTGGAGGAGGGGGTTTGAAAGATTTGCCAAATAGCCATTTCCTTTGTTCCCTAATTTATGATCCATGAACAGATATGCCACCAAAAAGGGCTCCGTGGTCAAGTAAGTTTCAGAAAACCCCACCTGGGAGGTTCACCTTGTACATTAGCTTATTAAATAGAAGTCCACCAGTAAAGAAACTTGTTTAATTCAGAGTTTCTATGTTTATTTGATCAAAGAATCATTCTGTATGGATGTGTAAGGAATGTTATTAACATACCAAGGAACTGGTGATGCTCTCCTGAAGGAGGTTGTAAGCAAGAGCCTAATGCAACACTTCTCAAACTGGTTTTGAGGGAGAACCCTGTTCTGGGAAAGCTAACAGGGGTGTCCCCAAAAGCTTTACTATCCCCATGAATTTTGTCCAAAGTTGCCCGGCTTTTTAGAGGTTTTCTCCGTCTTTAACATTAAACCTTTTCTTTGAGCAAATTCCTCCCCACTGACAAAATTCAGGAAGCACAGTCCTGACGAAATCGTTGCTGGTCTCACAGGAGAATACAGGCTTGGGACAAGATCCGCGGTCTCAGCGTGCAGACGACGGGCCTCACTGCGCTGAGGTTTAGCAAAAGCTTTGCTCCTCCTTAGAGCAAGAACCGCTTTTCTCTCAGCTGGTGAGGACCAACATCATGCTTTCCGTTTTGCTTTGGCCATCCAAAAGCACAAAGCCCCAACTTCGAACTGCAAATGTAGCAATCAAGGGGTTCTCACAGCCTGCAGATCTGCCTCCATTTTCTTCCGTTCTGGCTCCTGGAGCCTCTTCTGTCTTATTACACATTTCCCTTGCTCTTACCCATGTATCATACACGTATGGTAAGTTAATATATAGTATATAAATAAATTACATTACATTAAAAAGTCTAATTTTAGACTAATGTAATTTTAGTCTAATGTAATTACATTACATTAAAAAGTCTAACTTCATTTTCTTTTATTTTGACAGGGTATGAGGCGGGCAGGAAAGAGAAATGTGGGAAACTAAACGTGGCCAGATTTCAGCAAGCATGGGGCAGGGTCTTCCACCATATCCTTGCAGAGAAGATGGGGAAACAGAAATAGGTCAGTAAAATGGATTTGTGCTTTTTTGATTAAAGGACAAAATTACCACCAACCTGCAAGGAAGCTTCTGCCTGAAAGACTCAGGAGCTTTTTCCTCTGTGCTCCCAATCCATCTTGCTGGTATTTCATTATTTGGCAAAACTGTACTCTGTTTCCCAGTGACAAGGACGGTGCAAATAGAATGTGTTAAATATCTGGCCCATGGATTTTTTAGTGAGCACTAAAAGCTGTCTTTAGCTGTATCCAGTTCATCATTTTTGGCCATGACTTGGATGAATTTTAGAGGTAACACAAGGTTGAGAGAGAGAACTATGTTGGAAGAACGCACTCAAAAATGTATTGGTATTTTGGACATTGGGGAGGGTATGTGCTATGGTGAGTGCTGTGAAGTGTGTAAACCTGGTGATTCACAGACCTGTACCCCTGGGGCTAATAATACATTATATGTTTATAAAAAAATTAAAAAAATTTTTTTTTAAATGTATTGGTAGCTTGGAACAAAGGGCCAAATTTAACAAGATGATGGAAGAAAAGAATAAGGTCCTATATTTGGGCCCTCCAAATAACTACAAAAGCCCTCTGGTTTTGAGGTTTTCCCAAGTTTTTCTGAGTCTCATGAGACTCATGTAGTCAAAAAACAAATGTGATTATAAGCTGCATTAATGGAAAAAGAGAGGAGGCTATATGACTGCACTAATAAATCAGTACATGAAATATCACATGGTTAATTCTGAGCATGGTATCTAAAGGGGGACACTGAAAAAAGTAAAGTTGAAAATGTTGAAGGAACTTAAAAATACTATCAGACAAGAGCAGAGAATACCAACATTTAACAGGGAAGGAAAGACTTAGGTAGAACAAGAGAGCTGCCTCAAAGGCATGCAGAAAGAATTAAAATTATTATAAAACCCCAAAGCGGTAGAAGTAAGTTCTAATTAGTTATATGAAAATCTTTTTAGGCTTACTATGAGAAAGAACTTTCCAACAGTAAGCAGAAACTCAAGAGCTATCTACCTAGCACCTTATCAGATCTTACGCTGTAACAAAGATTCAGTCATTAGCTGGATGCTTTCACTCCAGGATTTGTGGTTTTAAGTGCAATTCTACCTACAGGAGAGAGATTTTCCAAGGCTACTGTGTATAAAGGATATACAAAAGTTGGTCTAACTTCTTGTCATTCATTCCACACATACACACTTTGAGGATGCACTGCTAAAAATAGTTCGACATATTCTTAGCTCACCTAAGTTACAAATTCATCGATGTCCTTGTGAAGCGGTAACGGGACAGTGAATGGGAACTGGAGCTGAAGGAAAGATTTCTTTTTTTGGCTAATGGAGGCCTTTCTGTCTAAAAAACATTCTTTATATTTTACTCACCTCAAATGATGCCACAGACACATGGACAGTTAGACTGATTAGGGACCTTCCCGGTCTGAGCAAGGACAGCTCAATCATACATTTTCTTTTCCTCTCTGTGTTTAAGTAGGCTCCACGCCCAATGTGGAGCCCAGTGCAGGGCCTGAACTCACCATCCCGAGATCAAGACCTGAGCTGGGATCAAGAGTCCCTAAATTATTCTGCACATTCGTACGGAGGAAGCAACCGTGTATCACAAAACGCTGAGCACAGTAGTCTATCGCGTCACAAGTGCTAAGATTCCGTGGGAGGGCACCCGCCCACGGTGCGGACACCCCCCCGCGCTGCCACAGGAACGCCGCTCCCGCAGCCCCTCCGCGCTCCTCTGCATCGTCCCATTATCTCTAGCGAATTTTTCCTGTCAGCCTATTTCTTTCAAGCTACAAGACCCCTACCTTGTCACCATGACCCCCTCCATCTTTCACTTTACCAAAAACACCGCCTTTGAAATAACTACTTTTGCTCTCACTCATCTCTCATTCCCTCTTGAAAGCTACTGAAACCCAGCGTTGACCTCGCACATCCCAGATTACTCACATTAATGGTAAGATCAGTCAAGACCTACATATTGCTAAATGCCACGGTAAATCCTCAGTTCTTATTTTACCTGACCAATTAGCTATAGCCCATGCAGTTAATTCCTCCTTCCTCCTGGAAACGCTTTCACCTGGCTTCCAAGACCCCACACTTTCCTGGCTTTCTTCTACCTCACTGGCTGCTCCTTTCTCGTCTGCTTTGTTGGTTCCTCCTCATCTTCTGAATGCCTTCTGAATGCCTGAAACACTAGAGTGTGACAGGAATCAGCTGCCGGACCTCCTCTCTATTAGTCTGCACTCTCTTGGCCACTTGGCCACCTCCATGTCCATCATCCCCAAATTCCTATCTCCAGCCCAGGTCTCTGGCCTGAGCTCCAGACTCATACATCCAACTGCCTACTTGGTGTCTCCACTTGGATGTTTATCAGACACCTCAACTTTAGTTATGTTCAAAACAGAACTCTTGATTTTCCTTTCTAACCTGTTCCTCTCAGTCTTTCTCAAATCAGCAAATGGCAATTCTATCCTTCCCGTTGCCCCCACCAAACCAACGGAGTTGTTCTTACTTTCTTTTTTTTTTTTAAAAGATTTTATTTATTTGACAGAGATCACAAGTAGGCAGAGAGGCAGACAGGGGTGGTGGGGAAAGCAGGCTCCCTGCTGAGTAGAGAGCCTGATTCTGGACTCCATCCCAGGACCCTAAGACCATGACCCGACCTGAAGGCAGAGGCTTAACCCACTGAGCCACCCAGGTGCCCGTTTTACTACCTTTCTGTCTCTTACATGCCACATTAAATTTATCAGCAGTTCCGTTGTTCTATTTTGAAAATA